AAGTCGCTGATCTCCTGGAGGTTGATGATCTCGTAGAAGCTGTGCATGATGTATTGGTAGAGCAGGTGCGGGCGCGCGCAGAAGAACGAAGCGCTCGGCACCGGCTCGTCGGTGAGCGCGGCATAAAGCTGGCCGTAGAGCCGATGGAAACAAATCTTCAAAGTTTGCACGCTGCTCTTGTCGTACAAGTAGTGGCGGATGAAGTTGCAGGCGTTAGTGAGTACGTAGTCCAAGCCGTCGATGAAGTTGTGCCGCAGTACGAACGCAAGCAGTTCCTGCGTCTCGTTGATCAGCTTGCAGACGTAGATCTTGACGGCCAAGTCTCGCTCGTAGCGCGCAAGTCTGCGGCAGAGTTCCATGTTTTTGTTCTGCAAGTAGTGCCAAAAGCAGCGGCGCGCGACTGCAGTGGGCAGCTGCGCGATCTGTGCGTCGGAGTACGTCGCAAGCGCGTTGATTGCCGCGACGCAAGCTATTTCGTCGAGATGCAGCTGCACATTGTGACAGTACGCGCGGACGACGTCTGCCGTGGGCAGGTCGGCGCAGTCGAAGGCCGGGCTAACGCCATAGAGCGCGAGCAGCCGCTGCGCGTCGACTGTCAGCCCGCAGACAGTCAGGTAGCGCGCGACGCCGCGAAGCTTGACAGTGTGCAAGTCCTTCAGACTCAGCAGCAGCCGGCCCTTGCACTCGCGCAACAGCGCAAGCGCTTGACAGCCGCGCAGGTAGCTCAAGTAGTCGAGCCGCAGCGCGCGCACCTGGCAAGCGGTTTCGGTTTCGCCGCGCGCCTCAACCGTTTGCAGCAGTTGCGCAAGCGTTTGCAGCGAAACGGCGCACCGCTGCAGCGAATAGTCCTCGTGCATTGAGAGCAGCAAGTTCGTGCCTGCGCTTAGCAGCTGCGGCGAATTGTACTGGCAGAGTACTTCGTCCAAGTCGAGCGGTTCCATCGCGTCTTCCGCGAGATGCTGCTGCGTGCTCGCGGTGTGCGGGCCGCGGTTGCGCGAAAAGAATTCCTGGAGCGAACATTGAAACGGCGGCTCGGAGTACTGATCGAAGTCTAGCAGGCGAGCGGCGCGCGCCGGCTCGTCTGCGCGGGCGGGCTGCGACAACTTCGGCGCGCGGTTCGTGCGCGTTTCGCAGCTCAGCCGAACGATGAAGTAAAACAAGCTTTCCGGCGTGTTGGACCCGGGGCTGTGAATCGAGATGAAACTCGGCGGCGCTAGAAATACGCAGTGCACGCTGTTCATCGAAAGCACCTTCAGCGAGCGGCTCGGAAAGACGCGGAGACAGTCGCCTAGCGTGAGCTCGAACCACTTCTGCGACTTGCCACTGATGAACAGCGAGACTTGGCTGTCGGCGGCGCGCTCGAACGAGAGCTGACCAACGACGACTGCGTGGTCTGCGAAATAGCAGAATACGGTGGGACGCGCGACTGGCGAGGCAAGGTAGAAGCCTTGCAGCGAGAGCGGCGTGCCCGCGCTCGTCTGCGTCTCGACTAGATCGGCGCACTTCGTGAAGAACAAGAAGCCCGAGTCACACAAGAAGCAGATCGCTTTGCGGCTGTAAGAGACGCAGAAGTCGTGAACGACCTCGGTCGAGAACAACTTGTTGCTTTCCGGCAGTTTGAGCCGTGCGAGGCTGCTGTTTTTCTGGACGTACGCCGCGCCGTCGCTGCAGAGCAAGAGCGCGGTTCGGTTAGTGCGCGATAAGATCTCGACCTTGATCGGCTGCGCGGAGAGCGGCACTTTGTGCGATACAAAGTCTTTTTTGTCGATGTTGTACCAAGCGGCTGCGCAGCTGCTGTTGACGAAGTACAGGGTGCTGCCGAGCACCGCAGCGCAGCTTTGCTCGGAGACGCCGCCTGCGCCCGCGTACTCGAGAAGCGCACGACTGAGCGCGTCGATCGTGAGCGGCTTGCTCCAGCTGCCGATAGAGAAGATGATCTGCAGCCCGTCGCTCGTGACGAAGAGAATGTCGCACAGGTCGAACCAACGCGCATAGACGACTGGGCCGAACGTCCAGGCGACGGCGTCGAGCAAGTCGCCAGTCGCGGCGTACAGCTTCAGCGTGCAGTGCGGCGAGCCGTGGAACAGTGCGGCGAACAGGCCTGAGAACTCGTTGAGCCACACGCATTTGCCGTCGTGCATCTCGCAGAGCTCGAGCCCGTCGACCAGCAAGTCCGACGTAAACCGGCGCAGGCTGGTCGCGAGAGTGTCGATGACGTAGCAGTTGTCGAAATGCGTCTTCCACTCCATTTCGTAAATCGTGCCGCGGCTTGTTCACCCCATGAGATTGCCGCAATAATATTTTTCCGCAATTGTGTAATGCGCAGCTAGCGATGAGTCTCGCTGCTCGCGGCGACTCTGGCGCCGCACTTTGGGCCGACTATGACGAGCCAACGGCGCGGCAGCTGATGCAGTTTGTGATTTCAGCAGTAGGTGCGATGCCAGGTGCAGCAGAGCAAGCTTGCCGCGACCCGTCGCGAGGTCGCGGTAGCTGCCGCGGCGGTGGACCGCCGCTCCCGGCGCGTGGTCGCTTGGGCGCACAACCGCACTAACGAGACACGAAACGCGACGGCGCACTGCGAGTTGGTGCTGTACGAGACGCTGCTTGTCGAGCACTTCGCGCGCGACGAAGAGCGGTTGCGCGAGGAGATACTCCACTTCGATCTGTGGGTCTCGTGCGAGCCCTGCATTATGTGCTGTTACGCGATCAAGTGCATGGGCTTTAAGCGGTGCTTTTTTGCGTGCCGGAACGACAAGTTCGGTGGCTGCGGAACCGTGCTTGATGTGCAGCGAAAGACAGCGCCGCCGTTGGAATGCTACGGCGGGCTGATGGAGGACGAAGCGGTCGCGGTACTGCAGCAGTTTTACAATCGCGGCAATGAGCTCGCGCCGGAAGGCAAGCGGCAGCGGCCTTTGTAACGCGAAACGCGCTTGCACCAATTCACGAGTTTTCATCATAATTTCGATTGCGAGCAGCGGACTGTATATGCTTGGAAGTCTGCTGGCTTCAGAGACTGCGAAGAAGTGCTACCGTCAGCTGGCTTCGGCGTTCGGCGGCTGCGCAGCGGTGTGCGGCGTCATGCTGATGTCGCGCAACGTGCGGCGCGGCCGGCGGCGAAAACCGGTGAACTCGTACTCGCAGTACAAATCTATTGCGACCCTTATAGCGCTGCTGACGGAGGCAGTCAGCGAGTACGACTTTAGTGACCTGACGCCGGAGCAGTTGAAGCAGCTCCTAGGCGCGATTTTGAAGCTCACAGTAAAGGATGCGCTGCGTGAGTTTCTGCTTGAGCACGAAGACTTGCTCGAATACCTGCGCGCCCCGCTGAGCTGCGAAAAAGGGTTCTACTCCGCAACGTTTTCGCACAACGGGTCTTCAAGCGGCTCGCTGTCTGCGCAGCAACTGGCGAGCGCGTCAACGCGCGCTGTTCGGTTGTCTCGCGCTAGCCGGCTGTCGCTTCAAGCGAGCAACGTGGCGGCGCGGACGCATGCGAAGCCTCGTCTCAGGCTCGAGAAGTCCAGAAAGTCTGAGAAGCCGGGTCCAGAACCGCTGTGCTTCGTGAGGCTTTCCGAGCTGCAGAGTTCTTTGGTGCGAGACGCGACCGCGTTGTCAGCGTCTGAGCGCAGGAAAGTGCGCAAGATTTTGCACAGCTCTCCGCTGGCTCGCGGCGCTTCTGCAAGCGGAGGCTCGACCGCAGCGAAGCGCGATGCCGCGCACAAAGAGCAGTCTCTCGCGATCGACGCGATGGAGCGCGAGAAAAAAGACAAGCGCGGCGACGAACAGTCGGCGCGCAGCCGAAAGCGCTCGTTCTCGCTGTTGAAGAGGCGACATAAACCCAAAGACTGCGTTCCGCAGCTTTCGCTGCGAACCGACGCGAAGCCGAAAAAAAACATCAAGGATTCCCGCTATTTCGTGGACGCCAGCTCGTCGGCAACCCAGTTCGACGCACCGCGCGCGTTTGCGCGACGGCGGACCTCTCACGCATTTGAGTGGGTGTTTGACTCGAAGAAAAAATCACTCTCAAGCGAGCAGAACATCGCGGTTGCGAGCGTATTCGGCAAGCTGATTTCGGACTGCGAGCAAGGCTTTGCAGCGCCGCAGGTGGGTCACACTTGCAAAGCGACTAGAGCGGGTAGAAGCGCGTGCTGCAGTCTTAGCGGCCGCTGCGCGCAGCATTGCGACGGCGCAGTGGTACCCGGCTTTCCTCTAGGCTGTGCGTCCGCAGTGCGGTCTACGGCCGCTTATGGCTCTAGCGTCAGTTTTGACAACAGCGGTTTCGGCTCGAACGGTTGTGATTGCAGAGCACCGGTTCAGTTTAACCATCCAACCGACTCTCCCACAGCGCGCGTACGGCTGATCGCGCAACGCTGCGGGACTCCAACCGCGGCTCCGCTGTTGATCGACTACTTGCAGGAGGTCCTAGATGCTCCTGAACAAAGAAATTCGGCTGCTGGCGCGGCGCAGCCGACCTGTGCACGGGGGTGTCCGCTGGAGGCGATGGCAGCAGCGGAGCCGGCGCCGGAAGCGACAGCGGAGGCAACAACGGATTCAACTGCGGTGCTGGCAGCAGGGTCGACCGTCTCGGCCGTTCTTTCGCTTGGCGAACTGTTGGGCGCCGAGCGCTGTACGGTCGCGGCCGCGACCACCGGGCGCATCGTCGTTTTACGCAGCGAGGCGTCGCAGGCTGGCTCGAGCGGCGAGTCGCTCGCGACAGAGTGCTGCGACGCCACGCTTGTGAGACGCGAGTCCGACGTCACTGAAAACGGCAACGCTCTATCGATGGGGCGCGCGCCTAGCGTGACGTCGCTCTGCGGCGACGAACCGATTTCTGAAGTTGAATAAGTTGCGTCGCGGCTGCTACGAATTTGCTGCGGCAGGGAGGGTAATGTGCGCGTCGCGCTATAAGTTGAAAAAACACAATGGACTACAGAAAAAAGGTGAAGAAAATCCTGGTTGCGTGCGGAGCCTAATTTGTGCAATTTTCTGAAAGAATAGCAGCGATGAACATACCTCAAATATTGTTTGTTCTGGGCGGACCCGGTTGTGGTAAAGGCACATGGTGCAAACGCATAGCGGAAAACTACAGCGTGTTTCACTTGAGTGCGGGCGACTGTCTGCGCGAAGAGCAAAAACGAGAGAACAGCGAGTATAAGGAACTGATCGAATCTTACATCGTGAAGGGCGCAATCGTGCCATCTTACATCACAAACGCGTTGGTGATGAGGAAAATTCGCTCGCTGGGCTTGCAAAATGTGTACTTGTTGGATGGCTTTCCGCGCAACATGGAAAACTACGAGTCGTTCATGAAGGAGTACAAGAGTGAAGGCGAGCGCGCGCTGTGCATTTATCTGAATTGCTCGGAAGAAACGATGCTGCAGCGGCTGAACAAGCGGTCGCTCACTAGCAACCGGATAGACGACAACTTGGAAACGATCAAGCTGCGGTTCAAAGTATTCGCAGACAACACGCTGCCGGTAGTGGAAAAGTTTCGTGCGAAAGGCCGGCTGATTGAGATCGACACGAACAAAGACATCACAGAACAATGGGACGCGATGAAGCCGGAGCTCGACGCGTTGTTTGAAAAGTTGAATCAGCGGCAGAGTAAGCGAAGGGGGTGCTTATTTTGTTTTTAAATTAGACAAATGCTCGTATGCCAGCTAACTGGCGCCATTCCGCAAGAGCCAGTGTGCTCGAAAGGTAAGTGCGGTGCTGCCGCAGCGCAGAAGGCGTGGTGTTCGAGAGATCGGCGATTCTGGAGCACTTGAAAAGCAACGACAAGTGTCCTGTTACGCAGACGCCGCTCGTCGAGGCAGACTTGATTAGCTTGAGGCAGTGTAAAGTGTTCAAGCCGAGCACTTCGTTTGCGCTGGCGGACTTTGAGGCGCTGCTCGCAGAGCTCGGAAAACGTTTCTCGCTGATGGCGACTGAAAACGCCCTTCTCAACAAGCAGGTGGGCGAGCTGCAGCAGCAGCTAACGCAGTCGCTGTACTTGCAGGACAGCGCGACTAAACTTATTGCGGAAAACCTGGAGGAGATCGACTCGCTGAAGAAACGCGCGCTCGACGCGCCCTCGCCCGCGACGCAGCCAAAGATTGATGTGAGTGCGCTGGAAAAGGACATTCGCGCCACGGCGGGCTCGTTGGCAACACGGCTGATCAGCGCGCGCAAGAAACGCGAAGCGCAGCTTTGCGAGCCGCCGAAAGTGCGCGAAAAGCTTGCGACGCTCGCGGACGCGGCGCTGCTCGACGTGCTCTGCTGCGCAAGCGACAATGTGGCGCGCCCCGGCATCGTGGTGTACGCAGCGCGCGGCGTAGACCTCGAGCTCCGCTGCCTCGCAACGGGTGCAACGAGTGTGATCTCGAGCGGCGGCAATGAAAGTCCGGTGACGGCGGCGCAGTGCTTTGCGGCGCCGTGCGTGAACTACCTGGATCGCGCCGTGCTGCAGGCCACCGCAGAGCAGAGCGGCGGCGAGGCGCGCAGCGTGCGTGTGTTTGTGTTTTGCGGACGCGCGGACGGCTCGCTTGAGCTCTACGAGCTGTCCAGCGAGTGTTTGGCAAACAATGACGGCTTGCTTACGCTCACAGCGGAGGGCCGGCTGGTGCGTGGCAGCGGCGCGGAGGCGCGTTTCTCGCTGCTGTTCAGCGAAAAAGTTTGCGAAACTGCTGTGCTCGACGTGGCTGTGCATCCGAGCGGACGCTACTTTGCGGTGACGAGCGCGGAGCAGCCGGTGCAGCAGTTCGCTCTAGAGCCGTGCGTGCGCGTGAGCGCGGTTTCGCACGAGGGCGTTGCGGGCCCGCTGCTCGGCTACCTGTTCCAGCCGGATGGCAACATGGCAGTGTTGCTTGCCGCCGCGAACTCGCTGGTGATCGTCGACGAAGTTGCGCAGACCAAGCGCGCGGACTTGTTCTCAGAGTCGCTCACCGGCAAATACTGCTGCGCCGTTTTCAGCGAGCTGGGATATTTGCTAGCCTGCGGGCTCGACAGCGGGCAACTCGTTTTTTGGGACTTGCGCAAGTGCGTGGTCGGACACATCGAAGTGCTGCAGTCCGCTGTGCTGAGCGTCGACGCAGACGCGTCGGGCAAGCGGTTTTGCGCATGCTCGAGCGACGAAGTTGTGGTTTTTCAGCACATGGGAAAGAGCAAGTACAAGAAGATCGCGTCCTGGTCAGAACCGGGCGTGTGTCGCGTGCGTTGGCAGCGGCGCGGCAACGATTACGTAACCGCGTTTACGCGCGACGGCGACGTTGTCGTGTATCACGTGTGAAAGTGCTTGATGCGTTGCGATGCGCGTGCGCCGCGCCGCGCGTGCCCCCGACTGCGAGTTGCGCAGCGAGGTGCGCCGCGAGACGGTACGCCGCGAGACGGTACGCCGCGAACGGTCGGCGCATACGTGAAAAAAGACTGCGCACCAACAAGGCTGCACTCTGCTGAGCTTGCTGCTCGACTCATCACTTAATATGGTGCTTTGAGTTTGCTCGGCAGTGCAATCCACTTGCTGCGGAGCTTGCTGATCAGTTGCTTGCTCAGTTGCGCGCTCAGTTGCTTGCTCAGTTGCGCGCTCAGTTGCGCGCTCGGGCTGAGGTTGGTTACGCGTTTAACTCGGTGGCGGCCTGAAAGTCGGCAGAGCAAGGCATTGAGGTGGGCAGCTGCGAGTTTTGAGACATTGATCTAGGCAGTGTGAATTTGCGCGAGCGATGTGTCGCGCGCTGTTCTGCGCGATGCGCGCTAGAACGCGCAACGCGTGGCTAAAGCAACTGCGAGCGTGGCGCCGCGTTTGCTTTAGAGGATTAGGTAGCGAGTGAGCCTGCGACGGCTGCCAGCGCTGCAAAAATATCTAAAATCTCAGCACTAAGCCAACGCGTCGCGAGCGGCCCGCGCGCCAGGGCTGTCCATGTAAGAAATACACTTAATTTTGTTGGCAGTTTTGCTTGCTTTTTGCAAAGCGAGGTTTTTCATCGCGCTGACGCTAAACTTATTTTGTAAGTTGGCCAGAGTGCTCTTGGCGGCCGTCAGTGGAAAGCGGCACAGTGCGCAGGGTTGCTGGCTGGGTTCTGTCATCACGTCATTCCAAATGAACTTGGCAATCAGCAACTTCTTCTGGTAGTTGAGCGTCGCAGAGTTGGTAATCTTTTTGGTGTTAAGTTGCACTTTTCGAGGGCGACCTCGGCCGCGTTTCAGCGGAACCACCGGCTCCGCGTCGGGCACTTGCGACTCGAGACACATCTTTACGCAGTTGAGCGAAGGCGTCGGCCGTACGTCCGAGACGATCAGCTGGGGTGTAAAAGACTCTATATATTTTTCGTGCGAAGCTTTTATAAATTCTGCGAAGCGCTGATCATCGATCGAGCCCCACTGCCAAAACGGCACTCGGTGCACAGAGTTCTCGAAGTGCGAGTTGGGCATCATCTGTACAAAAATCTGGAACGCGTCGTGTTTGATCGCACTCCCGTCGGGCGCCACAGTAAACCGAAGCTCGGCGCGAGACTGCAGTTCCAACACGGTGTAGAGTGTCAGTGCGTCGCTGCAGTTCGCGCGCGTAGAGTAAGCAACCTGCGCAACGTTTAGCGCGTTACAGCCAAACAGTAGTTGGCCCTCATGCCAGTACATGGAGTAGACAGCCGCGGAGCGCGGCGCGTAGCCGCGGGCGGCGGCGCTACCAGTCGCGCAGCTGGCGCCGCGCTCCGTAAAGCCGAGGCCTTTGACGCTGAGCGACTCGCCGGTCGCAAAGTCGAACGCAGCGCCGACGCCGCAGCCGGTTTCCGGCTGCTGCCAAATGCCCGTTCTGTGCGAGACGAGCGTAGCGTCGAGGGTGCCGCCGGCGATGTACGAGTACAGCACGGTTTTCGTGCGAAAGTGCCGCGGGTTCAACTCGTTTTTGAGCACCACGCGGTACGTGCGCGGCGCCGCGCGCAGCGCATCGGGGACGGCCTCGAGAAACAGAGCGTCGCCTGCTTTGAAAAAGAAGTTCTGGTGGAATGGGTCGGTGACCTCGCCGAGCAGCGGGCGCGACTTCGCGTTCTCCGTGTCCAGCGAGGTGATCGTGAAGATTTCCTCGCTGTGGATGCCTACGCGTTTGAAGAGCTCGTTCGTCTCGCACTTGCGCCAGTCGTCGCTGTCGATGAAGACCGGGCTGCGGCTACCGTTGTCGCCGTAGAACTCGTTGGTCGGCAGCCGGTACATCGGGTCCGACTGCATCTTGACGATTTGCGCCAGCGCGCAGTCGCCGAGCGCGGCGGGCGCGCCATTCTCGTGTTTGACGTTCATGTCGAACAGGTAGCGGCCGTACTTGACGTTGTCGTAGTCTTCCTCGGACTTCATCGAGCTGTTGAACTCCTGCGTCTCGCCGACGTTGCAGTAGTAGTGCGCGGGCTCGACGAAGGGCATTTGGTAGATGTTGACCTTCGCTGCGTCGAGTGAGTCGATCGGTCGCTCGAGCGGGAAGTTCAAGCCTTTCGAAATCGAAATGTTCAGTTTCTGCTCGTACTGAGTGATCAGATTTGCGAGGTTCAGATAAATGTCGCTGAACTTCGCGTAGGAGAGGTGACAGCCGCGGTCCGCGGGCGGCGGCGAAGCCGCGTAGTCTTCGCTGATGAAGAACGAGATCGCGGCGCCGAGCCCGCGCAGCGGCGTGTACTTTTCGTTGGTGACGTAGCTGATCATCAGCAGCGCGAGCAGCGTGCGCACGAGGTTCTCGGTCGCGTGGTGCGCCGTGTTGCCGAACTTGAACTTCGCGGGTTCTTTGTGCGGCGTGACGAACATCATCTGGTATAGACAGTTCGACGGGATGTAGCAGCTCGCGAGCTCGATGTAGTCACAGAGAGCGAGCTTGAAGTCTTGCTTCCCGCAGTAGAGCAACAGCTGGATTACGCTGCCCGCGAGCGTGAACGTGCGCGCGTCGCTTTGGTCCGGGAAGGCCAAGCCGAACATCGACGTTTCGACGAGCCGGTAGCGAGAGGCGGTGACCAAGTTAAAGTCGAAGCGTGACTTGATCGTCTGGCTCAACATCTTGTACGCTATGCGCCAGAGTCGTTGCAACACGCCAAGCCTCAACGCGTTGTTGTACGGCGCGTGCACGCCAATCGCGCTGTCGAGCAAGTCGCTGCCCGGCTCGTCGAACGAGAGCGCGTAGAGGCGCGGCTCGCTGAGGCGAAGCGGGCAGACGCTCCAGTACGACTTCATCAGCAGCCGCAGCAGCCGCAGCAGCAGCTGCTGCTGCTGAACTGAAGCGACGATCGCCTGCGAGTCGATGTGGTCAACGTGCGAGACGAGCGACCAGGCTGCCAGTCGCGAGAGCTCGTAGGTTTTCGCGCCAAAGTAGTCTTGCAAAAACGCGGCAACCTCGCCCAACCCGCAATGTTCGTGCAGAAAAAGCCCGAACTGTTTGAACACCAGCGTCTCGTTCGGCGGCGCAACGGATTCTTTCGAGATCAAGTGCACCAAGTCCTTCAGCTCGGCGCGCGCGTCGAGCCACCGCTCGCTCACGAACGTGCCCCCGCCCGCGGCCGCCCAGGTCGTCAGCTGCGAAGTCAGCTTGAGCCGCTTGGACTTCGAGGTTTTCGCCATCACTGTCGCTCTAGCTCAGCGGGACATTCAAGCCTGGCCGACCCGTAACAATAAAGGACTAATTAATTAA